TCTAAGCCGCCACCACAATCTTGACTTCCTGTGACCACACAGACCAACAGTATCAAGATAAAAATTCCTGAAGAAGGATATTTTGCTTATTAATAAGACACTTTAATTGCATACATTTCTGTGACTTGTAATAACTTCACAGACTCTGAATGTGCTGCACTCGCCTTCCCAGGCTCGGGGGAGCGTGCTCACTTGCCTATTTTCAGCATATTTCCAACATTCTCTACGCAGAGCTTTTCCCAAAGGTACATTTCCTATTTCTTTTTAAATTGTTAGATACTTCCACAATATTCCTTTTTTTAATCCTTAATTACAAATCATCTTCCAAGATTGTATTATTTCAACACTGAGAGCATCCCTAGTTTATTAGCAGCAAATAACTATGGTTGGTTAAAGGTTTTTAAGTGTGTTATTCCCCTTAAGCATATATGTGTGAAAGAAACAGACTGTCATCAGTTGTCTTCCCAGAGATTTTGTATTTGTCTTTTGTTTGGATTCTTTCACTGTTGATCGTTATTATCGCCATGAATGTCTTTTCTCCTTGGGATTCAGTTCGCCATTTGCCTTTCTCTTTCTTTACAAGAGTAAAGGAATGTGTGTGGTCCTTCCATCCATCCACCGCTCCATGATGTGTGTCCATTCCATTGACAGTTATTCAGTTTGGGTTCGTCACCTTATTTGTGGCCTCTTTTCCGCTGGCCCCACTGTTGGCTCTGGTGAACAATATACTGGAAATCAGAGTGGACGCATGGAAACTGACTACCCAGTACAGACGCATGGTGCCAGAAAAAGCGCAGGACATCGGAGCGTGGCAGCCCATCATGCAAGGAATAGCAATTCTGGCTGTGGTGACCAATGTGAGTAAGAAGGCTTCCCGGGGTAAAGACCTTGAAAATTCTAAAAATGCATTTGCGTCGCTTCCTAAGGAAGCCAGTGTTCAGATTGTTTAATATGGGAGGGAGATGCTAATACCATCATCCTTATAAACAACATAGTTGTTATAACTGTAATTGTTACTACTTTTAATGTATTTTCTTTATAATTATTATTTGTCACTTACAAGACCTCTTACAGAGGCAGCTAAGAAGCATGACCATCATACTATTGCTTAAGTGTTAATTCAACAGAAACATGGTAACAGCATTAATAAGTACTAACTCTTTTAATCCTTACATGACTATAAAAGTTATCCAGTAGCGCTTGTATAATGGAGATAGGAATCTATCCACTTAGAGTTTGAAGAACCTAAAACAAGAGCAGTCATTCCACCGTCTCTTACTATATATATATTCCAGACTATCAGTTTAAAGTAGGAACTCCCTGATGATGGGGTAGAAACACTTTGTGCATCCCCAGTCATCCGTTACCTTCCTGGTCCCCTGGGGCAGAGGCTCTTCCAGGAGGTGGTCCCGTCTCTCCTCCCCACCCCACTGTTGGTCATTAGCTAAGCATCCTCATGCCCTGCGTGTGTCTGAGCTGTGAGGGAACAGAACTCACTGTTTACAACCTGTAATGATCATGGACCAGTCTGAACATCCTCCCTCCTTCCCTGCCCTCATAGTGCAGCAGGGAGCTCAGCCAGAGCTATTTCCTCCCTTACTTCACTGCCAGTTTCACTCCCGGGTCACAGTCCCCAACAAAAGGCTCTCCCAGTTTGAATTTCTTAATCAAGTCACACTGGCCCTGAGTCCCTGGCCTTTTCCCACGAGTACTCGTACAAACAGAACAGAGTCCGGCAGTGGCTGTGGGCCAGGCTCCTGGGTGAGGGGACGTGCTGGGCACTTCCCAGCTGCATGATCTCGGGCCAGGCTTTAACATTTCAGGGCTTCACTTCATTCTCTGCAAACAGAACAATTCCCTGCCCCATATTTTAAGACTGTTATGTACCACAAAGGGTACTTAAGGAATTCAGTGAGTTAACGCATGGAAGTCACAGAGCCTGGTCCTCAGGGAATGTTAGTTACCGTCTTTAACACTGGCTGCGTAGACTTGGCCAGGTATCAAAGCTAGAGGCACAAGAACTTGACAATGTGTCACTGTCTAGATCACAGTCACAGTTTTACACTGTAACACAAGTTACCTGGGACCACCCAGCTGTCACCCCAACCCAGCCCCCGCCCCAAGAACCCTCAATTTATCTGATTTGCTTGCTATTCCTACTTCTTGGAGGAAGTTGGCAAATCACACACAGAAAATGACTGCTAGGTTATGTCCGTTTCCACTGACTCAAATCACCCTACTTTCAGTATCCACTGTGCTGCAAAACATAGACTGATGTTCAGAAATGACAGTGAGGCCTTTCCAGTTCCATAGTCAGTAAAGTATGAATCTGTCATGTTCAATATGCTATACGACACTAAGCAAGGCAGGAAAGCGGGCTCCTGCGCTTTCAGAAAATTTTTAGCAACGAGGTTTGAAACTAAAAGGGTTTTTGTTTGACCTTCAGCTAACCAGAAAATTCAATTGACTCCTACTCCCCATTACTCAAGCGTCCTGGCTTGATCGTGTTAGGCACCTTTTCCTCATCTCCCCAGCACGGCTTTGCTCCATCAGCACAGATGGAGTGCTGGCTGTGTCTCCAAGGCTGCTCCATGTGCACTGGCACGTGTGTGCACACACAGGCACACGTGCACCCACTGATGGGTGCCACTGATTCTTATCCAGTTGTTCTGTCTTATAACTCAGGCATTGGTTTATTACACCCTAGAAAAACCGCTTATTAGAATCATTGATTAAACTATAGACCATCCTTTTGCCCATATTAGGAAGTTACAGCTTACAAGATGCAAGTCCTGTGTGTTTGTATATATGTAATGTAAGTAAGAATTAAGTAAGTGTGTCATCCCCCTCACATACTTAATTTGTGCCTTTCCAATCAAATGTGCAGAGCAAAGGCTAACTGCCCATAACAGGAGAACTTTTAGGAAGAAGGGAATAGCCACCAGGGAGATGACAGGGCATCAAGCAGGAGTTTGGTATAAAACCATTCATTCCAAAGCTGCGCTGGCTCGATAAATAAGCGGAAATGACATTGTGGTATCATGCCAGAGCATCTGCTATTGAAGACCGATTTTAATTTATTTTGATATAAATGGAAAATTGTGTCAGAACAGCATGGGAAATGAAGCACACTGCATCTATCTGTACTCCTGCAGTGTGTCTCAGAGCTGCTCAATTTGGGAGGAAAAGTATCTCGTCAGGAGACAATAGAATCATCTTCCTTGTTGGAATTTTTGTTGCTTCCAGAAGCACATCTGCAGGTGATTCTGCAAAAGGCTAGAGTTGAATTAAATGATAACAGGAAATTTTAATCTATTGAAATCTGGGAAAAGTGAAATATTTTTGCCTTCCACCACCACCAGGCAAGCACGCATACACCCAGAGATTTCACATCAGAGGAAATGACAAAGCTGGTTCTAGTGGGGGGAAATTTTGCAATAGAAAAGCCCCTTAGTTGTTTTTCTTGCTTTGCCTGAGATCTTGTTTGTTGGCTTGTGGTCTCACAGTGTCTAAACCATATGTTCAGATGAAGACTATTAAAATCATGTGCAGAGAACATGTCTGTTCTTCTGCTTCAAAAAATGACTGAAACATTTAGCTTTGTTTATTCCCATAGAATTCGGATTGAAGTCTGTTCTCGACTTTCTCCTTCCTTCAACCCAATTTTTTTTTACTGGAGAGTTTAAAGTGCAAATTAAAGAACTTTGGAGAAAATTCATGTAATTCATAAGAGCTTCACATCCAAATTTAAGACTGACAATCCAGGAACACACTAAACTTTGTTAGTTAATAATTTATAATGTTTTTAACTTTATCCATGTAATCTTTTGGAAGTTGAGAGGCTTAGACACTAGATCTCACAAAATAGGTATCATTGCTTGACTGTGTGGATGGATCAATCCCAGTACAGCTTCCTGCTACTACATTTTATTAAAAGTAATAAAGAATTCTTGCTAATACAGGAGCAGACAGAAGCATATACTGAGTGTTTAAAATAAACCAGACTATGGGTTGACTTATCTAAACAAGTCAAGATTGTACAGGGAAAAAGTATGAATCTGAAGGAAAATATATTTTATGTAATTAATATTCTATTTTTAAGAAGCAAATGATAAAAAGCAGTTTTTAAATCAGTCATTTATCGACAAAGGAATTCTGTAAAGCCAACTTATTTTAGTAAGCGTTACATATTCTATATTCTTAAAGATTAAGTTATATCAAATAGATCTCCAAGGTTGATTGCTTTTCATTATATTCTAATTTTTGAAAATGAAGTTAATACATGCAAGCAGCTCTTGAGTTATCCACAGTACCCTAGTCTACAATTATGCTTACTGTACTTAACAGACATAATAGGCAAGGATCAGGCCCTTGCTTTTGAACTGCCACTGGACTTCTGGATATTCCCTTAGGTTAAAGACCAAAAGCAAAGTAACTATTCTACTTCAAAGCAGCTGCTCAAAGATTTTAAGACATTCACTATCTATATCCATTTGACAAGAAAGAATTAAGGTTTCTGAATCTTTAAAAAAAAATCTACTGCTGAAAATGTAATTCTGGCATGTCTGTTAACCATAACTATAAAGGCTCTAAATTAACGCTCCGTTTACTGTTTTCCTCCCGACGTAGGCCATGATCATCGCTTTCACATCAGAAATGATCCCCCGCCTGGTGTATTACTGGTCCTTCTCCGTCCCGCCCTATGGGGACCACCTGAACTACACCATGGAGGGCTACATCAACAACACCCTCTCCTACTTCAACATCGTGGACTTCAAAAACAAAAACAAGGACAACCCATACACTGGGCTTGGTGACCATACCTCGTGCAGGCAAGTTCTGTTTATTGGTGTTTAAAAATGCACCTCATCTTTTATAGGACTTTTGTTGCAATATAATTCTGTTCGGTATCACAACTGCTAGAGGTGGTTTTGTTTTTTTTTTTCCTAGTTTTCTTTTCAATAAACTTAAAAAAAAGGGTAAGGTATAAAAGTTAGTACAGACTAGGGTTAGAACTTTCAAACCAAACCATAAAGCAACCTTTTAAAATGAGAGTTAAGTGATTACAGGGAGATGGATCCAGGAGAAAACTCTTACTCAGTTGTTATGACTAATGTGTTATTTAAGCACATCCTGATGATCCTGAATGATGACAAACGAGCAGTCACTTAACAAAGCAATACCAGCACAAACAAGGTAAGTACCTCAGCCTAGCCTAGCAGCATTCTCTACAAGTATTCCAAAGCTCTCTGCATTTATTGTAATGGCTGGTAAGATCCATTGTGGATGGTGCACATCAACAAAATTACCAACTGATGAGGTTTGTTGACTACGTGTTTTAGAGGGTTTCTTTTTTTTCTTCCAGTCAGAGTCTTAATCCTAATGGAGGCTTTAAAATTACTGAGTTCATCTCCTCAAAGCCTTCTCTGATTCAAACTCTCCAACAACACAAGTAAGAAAAGTGTTTCCAAGTCACACATAGTGGAGCATCGTCAGAATCCCACACTGCCTCTGCTTACTCTTACTTTACATAATTCTAAAGACTAATTAAACTTCTAAGTCTAATAGGTTACGGGTAGAAAATTAGAGCTATGCTACCTGAAGCACATGACATCTGAACCAAGGAAATTAGGTAAGGAAACTATAAAAAGTAGGTAGGATTCTCTTTGGGGAAGTATAGCCCCACAGCTGAGTGAGCTCTGATGATAGCATTATATAAATACGTTGGTAAGCATGTTTCTGAAAATATGCTCAGTTTTAGTTTTGCTCGAGAAAGCAGGGTTAAAACTCTCAGCCAAAAAAAAACTCAAGATACTTCTTAAATCCATCATTATCCATTATCATCTTCTTCCTCTTGTAAGTTTAATGAAGTGTTACTAGAGTCTTCGTCATCAAACTAAACTCTTGGATAAAATGTGTATGATGTTTGATTTAAAAGAGGTGCATTAAATACAAACTTTTTAACTGATCAAAAAGAATCACCTCCTGATACGCCTCCACTTTGTTTCCAGGTATCGTGATTTCCGGCACCCTCCCGGACACCCACAGGAGTATAAACACAACATCTACTACTGGCATGTGATCGCAGCCAAGCTGGCTTTCATCATTGTCACGGAGGTAGGAAAAGTATCCTCTGAAATAGTTCACAAGGCAGATATACGGGCAGACCTTTTATTAGCTTTAAGTATTGCTGACTCTGACTTAAAATATACAGGATGCTCTTATCTCTTGCTAATAATTATTTTAGGACACTTACTAATCAGATTTGACCTGAGAATACCCATAATGCTCTCAGTAATTAAATGAAGGCTATCTGCTTTAAAAGGTAAAAGCATGTTGTGTACTAGGGGATTCAATTCAATTTAGCATTAATTGAAGGCCTTTTGCGGGGGGAGTATGGAGGG